ATGTACAGAGAGGTGCAAAGTACTAACTCAGGACAGCTCCAACAATGTTCAAAGGGCTAGCTCGTAGAATATTTTACTAAGAAGGAGAGAGAATGATAAGTTAACTCTTCTTAACTTTCGCAAAAAAAAAACTCTTTTTAAAGAGCTAAGCTCACACACTGATTCATGTGTCCATGTTTACATATTTTTTCTATATAGCATTGTCGGGTGACTCTATTGTTATCCTTTTTTTTTAAATTCACATGAGATAGCAAGTTGATTTTGCTCTTGAGGTTGCCCTCATCATGAAGAGCTAGCTCTTCTCTTTCTTCTCTCTCCTTCACATACGAAAGAATGATGATGTATTCTATGAGTAGTTAAGTACTCCCTCCATTCTTCTAAATTATAAGATATTTTAGTTTTTTTTAGATATATTGTTTTTACTATGTATCTAGATCATAGTGTATATCTAAGTAAATAAAAAAACTATGTACTCACTCTAGCTTGTTCCAAATTACATAATTTTTCTATGTATTTAGATATACACTATGTCTTGATGTATATGATAAAAATAATGTATCTAAAAAGCCAAAACGTCTTATAATTTAGAATGGAGGGATATATATAAAAGTGAAAATGTCTTATAATTTAGAATGGATAGGGTAGGTATTATTGGAGCACAAATGATCGGAGCAAGTATACCTAAGAGTCAAGACACACATGTTCTCCATACCCCACAAAAAAATGATAATGATACCTATAGGGCATCCGTCCGTCCGTCCAGACCCTGGCCTCACGCCGCCCTCGGACCCATTGGTTCGCACCTGGAAAATATCAGCGATGGCTCTATCTCTCGTGTCTCCCTGCCTCCACTTTTCTCCCTCTCGCGTGCCTCCAGCGCTTCTCCCTCCCTCTCTCTCTGCGGTGCGGGGGAGCATCCCGGCGCGGCGGCTCCTCCCTGCCTCCGCTTTTCTCTCTCTCGTGTGCCTACGGCGCTCCTCCCTCCCCCTCTCTCTTTGCGATGTGGGCGAGCATCCTGGCACGGTGGCGTAGCGCCTCGGCGTGGCCTCAGCACGAGCGGCCCACGACATAGAGGTCCGAGCGGCCCTCGACACGGCGGCGCAACGGCGCCGACGGCCTCGGTCACGGGCAGACCAACGCGAGCCGACACGAGTGGCTCCCTGGCAGATCTAGCTCCCCTGTCCTAGTCATGCGGCCGCTGTCTCCCTGTTGCGTCACATAGTTGCCGCCTACAAGCGCCTCCGGTGGACTCCACATGCCGACAAGCCTCCATTTCGTCCAAGCAGCAGGTAGATGTTGCGTTTGAAACCGCATGTTGCAAACGTATGTTTCAAGTATTTCAGAGGTATGTTGCAAGTGTTTTATACGGATGTTGCAAAACTAGATCAGGATGTTGCATATATTACAATGGTTGTACACGTATGTTGCAAGCATCTATTGTAAAATGTTTTATGTGTTTTTTTATACGTATGTTGCAAGTGTGTTTATCTGAATGTTGCATGTGTTTCACACATATGTTGCATGTGATTTATCTGGATGTTGCATATAATTTACAATAGTTTTTCAAGCGTTTTCAAGTGTTTTTACGAGTGTTTCTGATGTATGTTGCAAGTGTTTCAACTGTTTCAAACGTATGTTGCAAATGTTTCATTTAGATGTTTCAAAAGTAGATCAGGTGTTGCATCTCTCTTCCCGCCTTTTGCTGCCTCGCTTCGGTGTCTCTTCT